CATTATTCATCATACTTGTCATCATACATATTCAATCATTTGTCATCATGCCTCGATTCTCATATTAAGAATATACTCATAAGCATATTAATAACTTAGCCTAGGACAATCCTTCAGGCAATTCACCTAATTCTCATAACATTCAGTAGTCTAGACATATTTATCATATGCACATTCATAGCAGTATCATCGTTTCCTTAACACTAACTCATATGCGCATTAACATAGTTGGGCTAGGCATAAATCCTTCTAGGCCTACCACATTATTCTTAAACATTTTCTAGTCTAGGAATTCTACCTCTAGACATGCTTATAGTTTGTACGTAGCATATATTCATCCTTCTTACCTGCAAGTTAGTTGCAAAAGCTGGAAAACCACACCGTCCTACCATACATAGTTGGGATATTAAGTTTTCAAATCTGGCTTTTGTAAGCCTACAAAAAACAGCTTGTCCCTAACCTTAGAGTATGCTTTGATTTGCCTCCAAATTAATAATTTCAAACATTGAATATGTCATAAAGTGGGCTTGTCACCTATTATATAGAGTTTCTCTGCCAGGTCTGCCCTATACAGATCTTGACAGTAACAACAATAGTAGTAATGCCATTCACACTCCACCCGGTGAATGCATATAATCCTTATCCCACTATGATATAATCATAATATAATATTAACAAGCAAATCTGATTTGGAAAGGCAGATATAATTGCAAAGAAAAAACCAAGACAGATGAAACAAGGAAGTATGGAGGCATAGAGTTACCATTGTGAGCAATTACAATTGCATCAAACTGCCCACAAGGTTTTCCATTCTCACTCAAGTGCCACATCCCATTAAAAGGCTCAAGTTTACTTATCCAGCAGGGTCTCACCACATTGACCATAGAAGTCTGCACCAAGCATCAAACTCTACTCAGCTATAGCCACTGTTAAAATGTCAACCCAACAAACCACCTGAGACAACAGGGTCCAATAACAACAAGAACCAGTCTAGAAAATAATTATTTCATTTGTTTCAACAAAAGCTTAACCTTTCCTTTCTACTAATAATTAAGCTGTATAAAAATCATAAAAAGAAGCAACAGAGAAAGGCAATCACCTCGGAAAGTAATGAGTCTGCTAAAGGGCGCATTCCCTTAATACCTATAAACCTTGGTGGTGATGGAGGAAGAGGAACAAAATGACCACCCAATTTAATTGCACCAACTAAACCTTGCCACTGTTGAACCAAACCTCTCTTCAACCAATAATCAACTAGCTCAGCAAACCGAGAATCACTCACAGTAAAGAACTGAGCAGCATGATCAAATATAAGTTGTTGGGGATCAATGACCCTTGTTCCTATTCTTCCTCCCAATCCATGCATACCCTTTTATGGAAAAAAAAGTTAGAAACCACATTAATTGCAATCCTTTTAACCGCATTACAAGAAGTTAATTCAAATGATTGAACTTCTACAAATTTTAACACTTATCCTTCCCTAACTAAACTGTTGAGCATTAATATTGAAGAATTGTAGTAGGGAAAATCACATGCCAAGGGTTGAATTCCATTCATTTGGAATAAATGGTAAGTCTAACAAAGATAACTAATCATATGCATGCCAAAGTCTAAATTTAAATCAATTGAACATTCTACAGTTTCCCTTATCTGAAGAACAATAATTGACTAATACTTGATAAAAAAAATAGTAATCCAAGATTTGTTTAGCAGCAAGATAATCTTGAAATAAGACAAAACCATATGATCACAGTTGTTCAAAGAGCTCTCCCAAAGAATATAAATATAAAAAGAAGTCTTTTCTTTTTCTGTCATATGACAAGAAATTCAGAGACAAAGATTCATTACAAAGCAACTAAGATAATTGGACAACTCCAAACTCACATTGACATACACTATAAGAGGACAACCAAAAAAAAAAAAAACAGCATTTTTATTTTTTATAAAAAACCTATATTCGCATACATTTTTTAATAAACAACGAGAACAACCAAAAAGTTTAGTTTTTTAGAACAAAAAGACAATCTTTCTTTTGTGCATTGACCAAAACTACCTTAAAAAACAACCATAACCCACATTAAAACGATCCGAAACCCATACCAAAGAGCAACAAAAGGTAACCAAAAATTAAAAAAAAAAAAACCAACCGTGTCAAAAACAGTGGACCTAACACCTCTCTTCTCCAAGCTCAAAGCACAAACCAGACCAGCCATTCCTCCACCAATAATCCCCACGTGAGGGTCATCAGAGACACTCGCAGTGAACTTGACCTGCTCTTGGGTGAATGTTTTCTTGAGAATTGACCTCCTAGAAGTCCCGTATGGCCTTCTTTTCCTGTTTCTGGGAGTGGGTCTTTGTGGGGCCTTGGAGGGTCTTTTCGGTTCTTGTGAACTGCAAGTTATCGTCAGAGGTTTTTGGGGTTTAAAGGGTTTCGGGGTCTTGAGAGGGAAGAGAAATGGTGAAGAAAAAATGGGGAGAGTCGAAAGGGCCATGGCTTTCTTTTTTGGAGGGAGGGATAACTAACTAGAGTCGAGTTTCTTTCTTTTATACTGTCTTATCCAATTTTGTAGTTGGAGCTTGGAAGTTAAACTAGATGTCTAATTGTCTTTATCTCTTTTTTTTTTTTCTCTCTCCAATTTTTTAGGTAATTTTAGTTTGGAAATTCAATATTTGTGCCGCACAGGGAGAACTTCGAAGAGTTTGATTACGTGTGGATTTAATGCGATATTGAAGTGAAGAACCAAGTCCAGTTAACTCAAGCTTGTATAACCTTCTATGGGTTGAAGAGATTTCTACTCTGCATATCCATAAGTTTTATGATTACTTGTCCAACAAAGTTCTACAAATATCATTACTTGACAAAGACCTTGAATTTCTGTTGTGCCCGCTAAATGCTTTTATTCATGTTCATGATGGGTACACGTTTCCTGCCCTTGATACTTACTGAGAGAGATTGTTATGGTTTAACAACGCTATTATGAGAAAATTTAAGAAAAAAAAATAATTAGTCCATCATCAAGAAAATATCAGATGAAAGCAAGGCATTTGGTCCACATTAGAATCAATAACTCTTTTATATATAACAAGATATGTAACAATATAACTTACAAAACATATACAATTCACATCAACGCAAACCACTGAAAAAAACAAGTCATCGCTGCTGAAAAGAAACAGGCTAATTCCTTTCTCAACATCCATATGGCACTACGGAAATTCAAAACCATTTCCCCGCTTAAGAGTTAGTAAAAAAGCCAGCTGCTCATGACTGAACAGTGATGTTAGCATTGCTCTGCTCGGTGATATTAGGAGGAGCAGCTTTTGTCGTCTCCTTTACCTGTTTTGCCCGAGTTTTCACCTTGCCAGCACTATTACTGCTCTGTCCGCTGAGCTGACCCTTACTTTTGAGTGCATTTGCAGTAGTGGATGCTTCTCTATGGCTACCTAAGCTGTGGCGATGTGTACGGCAACAAGTTTTTGCTTTTTCATCCAGAGATGCGTGGACTGCATCGCCACAGCTCTTTCTCCGGGTAAGATTTGGTGACTTTGGCCGAGTCAATGGCAGCTGAAATGAAATTAAAGCAATTATGAAATGATAAATTACCCAGCAAAGCTGCATGAAACGTAAATAGTTTTGTTTGAAGTGGTATATGTCAGATATGTATTTTATCTTTGTGCGTTTTTGAATAGGAAGTTGATATGCCTCAGCAGAAGGCCCTTCTTCAATCCGTAATGATGATGGTGGATCTTGGTTTAGGCTGTATTGGCAACTTCAGGAGCGGTGATTTTAAGCAAGTTTACCCCAAATAACTTTCTAAGCCTTATGGTCAATTTCACATCCTAGATTAGTTTCTTTTCACTAGCATCCAAAGCCCAAATCATAGCCATCATTATGAATTAAGCAGGTTTCTTCTTTTGTCCATTCTATGTTTTTTAATATTTTCAAGGCTTGACCGACTCAGAGAAAGAAGGAGAAAAGATTCAACAGAATACCTTCTTCAGTTCAACCTTCGGTGGAGGTCCTTCATAGTAGAAACTAGGTACTGGATTTGCTTTGACGACCATACTCTTTCTAAGCTGCTTAAGGGCTGCTTCTTGCTCTTCCTGCAACAAAGCAAGGAGGCCCATTTTGTTATTATCTAAATGTATAAAAATGCCACAAATATGACTGTCCAAGAAGATTGACTCCAACTAAATATTACAAAAGAGATACTTCAAATGCCATGTACCTTGGTCCTGGCCTCACACTGGCTTCTCTCTGCCTCCAAAGCTTGGTGTTTTTCCTCTAACTTCTGGTAAAACTGTATGGAAAAAAAAAATTAAAATTGGGATACCTTGAAAATGAAATGGGGAAGAAATCAATAACTGAAAAAAGTATGCAAATAGAATTCAAATATAACAGTTTTTGACTAAGAATATACCTCCTTCCGTTTCCAAGCACGTTCCGCACTTCTGAAAGTTGGAGCAGTTCCAATAGTTACCCTCGATCTAGCAGTTCGCACAGATGCAGCAGTACTAGACATAGCTAAGGAAAATTCAACTAAAACAATACAAGACAATTACAACACCAGAGACCCTTTTCCTAAAGAAGTTAACCAATAAAAGAGAGAAATATAGGTACAGGGAGACACTTCAGCTTTCGAGTGGGGAATCCTCAATTATAATTAAACAAAAGAAAAAAAAGAACTGCTAACAACAACCTCATAGCATCATATCTTAACTTCTTAACACCAGATAGAGGATACGACGATGTGACAGACCAATTATCTTCTTCATCAGGATGCTTCCTGTCATAAGGTTGCAATGGCTTCCTCAACATCAGAGGAGTCAGAGGAGAGCTTGGCTGAAAGAAATGGGAAAATTTAAAAAATCAGCACCATGCACGTATCAACAATTAAGTTTAGACAGAAGAATAAAAGGCAGCATAGTATGCTTTATAAGCAAAGTAAGAAAATATCACTTACTGTATTTCCATAATGTCATTTCAACATGGCATATCAAAAAGAAAGTCAATTACAGTAAGATTCAGAAAGAAGATTCCAAAACAACGCTAAATCTCCTTTTATAAAATTCTTTATTGCCATATTTCCAAATTCCTAATACACATAAAAGCGTGAAAGGCTCAACTTTTAGTGCATACCATTTTCTTACCGGTCAGGCTTCTTATATTGAACATAGTTGTCTTAACCTAACTAAATCTCAAATAAATTGGATCATATTCAAGTCAACTTAAGGTCCATATGGCACTCACTGGATCAGAAATTTCCATCCTTATTCAAGAATTTTAGTTACCTCTGAATTCTTTGTAGCAGTAGGGGAAGGTGAAGAGTTGACATCTGTTGTCCCATTTGCACCAGTTTTTGAGGTAGTGTGGCGCACATGAATATTTCCAGCACCACTGGATTTAGATGCAGGGGAGCTGAACTTCGTATTGTCACTGGACTTCTGATCTCCAGCCTTTTCATTCTTCCCTTCAGGAAGGTCAATACCAAAATTTGTGCTTTTAGCACCTAGCACATCTTGCTTCTCATGACCATTCTCAACCACTGAGTTTTCTGCGGTGCATTCCTTGACCTCATAGTTCTTTGACTCAGTGCCTTCTGAAATTCTTGGATTACCATTTGAATTCACCACACCATTTGAATTCACTACACCATTTGGCTTATTGTCCATGTGCACATCTGCAAGTTCCCTCCCCATTACACTGCATTAGAAATAAGTTGAATATTAGAATGATATGTAAAATGGAAATCTTTTCTCAGAAAAGGCAAAATTTCATTCATATGCTAAAATATATAAAGATACTTCAGAAAAGGAGAAATAAAACAAAAGAAAGGTAAACAGATGATTCATTTCCATAATGTTTCAATATGCATCAGATTTTTCAAGTACTTAAATCTCAAACAAAGTGATCACTACTGACCATGTTGTGCTTAACAAGATTCACTGACAAGGAAAACCAACCACAGCAGGCAATTTCAAGTTGCCAAAGCAAGAAGTGCACTAAGAATGACAAGTACTACATGATCATAAAAGATTTGAAACAAGTTTCCTCGTGCATATATAACCCAGAGACTGAAAACCCAGATATCACAATAAAACCTATTTGTCAAGTAGATCTGCACATGATCTGCAGTACGAATTCCACATCTGAGCTAGAACATGCAAACCTAGGTGAGATTCAATAGCAATAACTTTCACATTTATTCCTATATAATTTTGTCTCCTCTTAGTGCAGAAGCTTTCCAACAGCCACATGTACTTCAAGTTGTAACAATGTTTTATTCCCAAAGAACCCCTTTTCTTTTCCAAACCTTACAATACTTTCACTCTGTTTCATCCTTGGGATACAAAAAGGTGACCAGGGTATTCTCCAAAGAAGAATCTAGAATAGGATTTATGGAATCATTTGGAAGTTCCCATGAAATGAAACCTTCAAATACAAATTATAAGGAATTTAAGGGTCTACTTTAGTATGCAGAGTTGTTTCCTTCACATATAATTGTTAGAACTAAGAAGCAAAACACAAAATGTAAAAGATATCTAAGAAAAAGAAACAAAATCAATTCTTTTGAATAAAAAGAGAAAATGAAGATTATGAAGCCAAAAGCAGGAAAAATGAAAAAAGCATCACCTTTCAGGGTAGCTTATAAATCAAAATAAATTCTGAGGAAATAAAACACTCAAGCTCATTCATAGAGACAATACAAACAAAGAAGATAAGTCAACCGAAAACTTGTTTATTTAAATTAACAAGGACAAATCCAGGAACCCAATAATTAAAAAAAAAAATGAAGCGAATCATGCATGTGCAGAAACACAAGAAAGCCAAAAAAAAAAATCAACAAATCGAAAACTTCTAGACCAAAATAAGAAAACTCAGAATTCAAAAACCAAGAGAAGGGAGAAAGCTTTAGCAAAACTCCTCATTTCTGGGCAAGTATTCACATAAAACAAACATAAGAAAACAAAAAAAAAAAAAAACTTCACATTGAGCTTAACAGAGCTACAAAATTCAACAAATCCCAACACTTTTAGACCAAAATGAGAAGACCCAGAATTGAAGAACCGTTGATGGACAAAGAAAAAAGAGAAATTTAGCAAAAACTCTTCATTCCTTAGCAAACATTCACATAAAACAAACCCAAAAAAGAAAGACTGTACCTTTAAAAGAGCTAACATGAATAAGATACCAGTTTTAAAAAAAAAAAACCCATAAAACAACATGAGGAAGAAGCAAAAATACCTTGAAAAAGACAGCAACAAGATAAAAAGATCAGTTAAACAGATCAAACCCACATTGCTTATGTTAAAACCAAAAACCCAAAACAACGAAGATAAGAACTTTGATAAAATCTTTTTCTCTTACAGTTTTTCTAGCTTGATCTGACAAGATCTTGAAACTCTTTTCTTCTCTCCTCCTCTCTTCTACAGTTTCTCTCTCTCCTCTCCCTCCCTCTCTCTCTCTCTCTATCTCTTCTATTTTAGTGTGTCTTAATAACAGACGAAATGTTTTCTGCGATTTTGCTTTTATTTAGGCTCTCAGGCTTTGAAAGCCGTGTTCTCTTTTTTTCTTTTATTTTTATTTATTTTTCCTTTCTCCTCTTTTTCTTTGTAATGTTGAGTTGTTGGTTATTTGGAGGGACAGTTTTTTCAGTTTTTAACCTTAACGGCGTAACATCATCCTATCAATTTCTTCTTTTTTTTCTGATAATTCTTATTTTTCCGTCACTTCTTAATTACTTTCCTTTTCTTTCCTTTATTTGTAAATTAATTAATGAATTAATATAACAATTAAATGGACACATATCAATATTTTAATAAAGCAATGCACACATGGGGTTGCCATGTCAATTTGCTAATCTTGGTTAGGTTTAAGACATCATTTAAATAACTAAAAAAATCCCACAAAGAAAAAAATTACATAATTGATCATGCTTTTAATATGGAAAGAGAATAATTGTAAATTAAAACATATTAAAATGTCTTTCCAACCCATTTAATTCCCCAATTTTGTTAGATAGTGATATATTCTTTGATTTTATTGTCCTTGATCACATCAATAATTGTATGTCTTTGTTTGAGCCCCAATTTTTTTATTTCTTTTATTAAAGCTTTAACATGTAATGTTGTAGCTCAACTACTTAGGACTATGACTTTTTTAGTTTTTAATTAAGCTCCCATAAAGTAAGTGAAATCAAGGAGGATTTGAGTTTTAATATTTGTATTTATTTTGATAGAGTAATAGTATAAAATTTTCTTTAGAATCAAGTTAGTTAGATTTTTGGCGTGTTTATATAATTAATGACAATAATATTATACTCGTATATGTTTACCATTTTATTTTATTTAATTAAATCATCAATTTTTACAAAAAAAATCTCATCGTGAGAGATATCCTTTTCAAGTTTCTCTCAATAATCGATTTATTAAAAATTATATTTATTCTGTCAATTTTAAAAATTAGATTTTGATCTCTTCCTTTTTGAAATTGAAAAAAATTAGTGAAACTATTTTTTCTTCACAACAACAAAAAACAAAACAGTAATATTTTATTTAAGGGTAAAATATTTTTATTTTTAAATTTTAATCAAAATTTTAAATAAATTCATTAATTTTTAAATTAAATATTTTGTTTTAAAAAAATCTCTTTTATTTGACATATAAATTCAAAGCTAATTATTAATGATTTATGACCCAACCTTGTTTAAACCAAACTTTATTTAAAGTGTTTTTTCTTTTGTCTTTTTCATAAAATTTTGATTTATGTGGAGATCATTTTAACGGCGTTACTTAACTGTTCAATTTATTTTTAATGACAAGAAAATAGAACCGACGTGGGGTTAACGGTGGTTGGCACTGTAATTGAAAATGTCCCGAAGTCTTCAGTTCAAATCTTATAAAAAGATTTTATGCTGGTTATTTATTTATTTATTGATTTTTTAAATTTTTCTTTTTTCTGTTCTGTTCAAACATGTTGCAGTGGAGTGTTGTACCTCATCTTCTTTCGATGGCCATTTGTCGGAGACTCCTGAAAAGGGACAAATTCTCTCTCTGACCATTTTGCCCTCCATCACTTTTTATTTATTTTTTTTGGTGAAATTTAATTAGATTAATTAGGGAACAAGGAATTTGGGTTCGAATGAATAATAGGGACCAAATTGATTCGATTGAGAGGTTTTTTTATTGTTTTTATTATTTTTATTTTTGGGTTTAAATATTGAAGTTTGTTGTGGTGGTACCCATGATGCCCAATGTTCCCGTAAAACAGTGCTTTCATGGCAGATCCTAGGGTTTTCTTTTTCTTTTTTTTTAAAAAAATTTTGACAATAAAAGGAAATGTTTGGAAGGTGGGAAAAAGGTTGGAAAGTAGTAGATTTTGAATTCAAGATGAGAAAGTGGGAGGGAATTATGGAGGCTGGTGTGTGCTAGTAAAATGGGGAAGTTGGACAGTGTTTATTACAGTTTTCATGTATTCATACAGAATATTTTCCTTTACATCAATATATAATTTTAGGAAGAAAAAATAATAGTAGATTCAAATTTAATTATTTAGATTTGACGAATAAATACACTTAGTATTAAATCAAATGCTAGTAGAGAATTTATGTTCAGTTTCGTGGTTAATAATTACATGCACTTATTATCATCAGACAAATAATTCATCTTCAAAATTGATAATTTTATTGTACATTAGAAATAAATGTCTATGCATTTATTATCTATTACTTTCATGCTATTAGTAAGTAGTCGGGCCATGTGACTATTGGATACAATAGTTTTATCATTTTATTATTTATTTAATGAGATCATCATCAAAATATTATAAATCAATTTCGGAGTAATTTAAAATCAATATTACAAATAATAAGACTTGAAATTATAAAAAGAGTACTTTTTATTATGTTCTAATCACTAAATTAAAGAGTTACTTATTTAAAACTTTTATATATCCATTATTAAATAATAATTGAATAAATAAAAAATACAAACATTATAAGCAAAGTGTTAAGCCTTTAAAAATACTAAATTTTAACAACAAATAAATTATAATGTGAATTGTAAGGGGATATATGAATGTTTTACATTATTCATGATTTTGGTATATCATTTGAGTGCAACTTAAATTAATAAAATATTTTGTAATTATTATTTATTTAAAAAAATTATAAATATAAGATAAATCCTAAATTGCGCAAGACTATAAAATTGATCTTAGAGTCAATCCTATTAAGACATAAATTGATCCACATTTTAAATTTTTTAGAACTCAATTTTTATGAGTATTTAGTAGTCTTGATTTTAAAGCAGTCCACTCAGACCATGATCACTTCTAATTTCATATTTACGTTTCATAATCGTATTCAACTTTAGTTTTTTTGAAAGATATTAAATACGCAATTTAAGTCGAGTAGGGAATGAAATTTATTCGTAATAATAAATGCTTAACCCACATTATATATATTTTGCTCAAAATTAATATCAACATTCTATGATGTCTTACAAAATAAATAGGGTTCCATATTTGCTCTAACTCTCACTCTTCAAAGAATTTATTATGACAGTGAAATGTCATGAATTTTTTCAGTTCCAAATCAATTTATTGTTCATATTGTGAATCACAATTACAACCCACTGCAAAGTAGATGTTCATAACTTTTCTTCCTTTAATTTTAATTAATAACTATATATATATGCATATATTAAATTTTTATTAATATACATGTGTGTGTGCAAGTATATATATTTAATTTACGTAAAGACTTTCACAATAATTTTTTCATGAAATGAATAAATAATATATTACTTAAAATTTATTTCAAAAATTATGTTATTCTGTTCGACGTTAGTTCGATAACTTATAAATGATATGAAAATAATAAATAATAATTTTATAAATATTTCAATTTTCATAAATAATCTGATAATAGATACTTTAACATTTTTTATGTAAATTAATAATATGAAAAAAATTAAATTCCTAAGTATTAAAAGATGGGATAGATGTGTGGAGTTCTTTAGGAGTGTGAACAAGCCAGGAAAAATTCAATGCTATTTAATTTTCACTGTCGGGGGTTCAAACCCAAGGATGCAATAACAGAGACCAAACACATTTATTTTTGTACCGTTGTTACTTGTGGGCATTTTTTTATTCATTTTGTGTTGTTAATGAGTGCATCAATGGTATTTATTATTATTATTATTATTATTATTATTATCAAGAGCATCTTAATTAACTTTATGTATTAAAAAAATAACCATATACTATATATATTTACAATCAATTTCTACACTTTAATGTGAAAATTAATATATACTATAACTTTAAATTACATGAATTTCCATAATTCAGCTTTTAAAGCACTATATATGTCATAATGTTAGAAGAAAAGAAGTCTTGTATTATAAAATTATTGTGTATGTTATAGTTATAGAGGTGAATAGTATATATATATTATGAGAAGAAAAATAATAAATTATAAAATTTTGTATTTATATGTGGTTTTTTTTTACAATTAGGAGAGGTAGAATTTGAATTTTATTTTTTAAATAAAAAATTATATATTAATTAATAAATCAAATATTCGACTATTATGTATTTATATATGATTAATTCTATTCATAATCTAATTTTAACTAGCTAACAGTATAATCATCTCAATAAGATGACAAAGTTCTGACAAGGAGATTTGGAAGTAAAGAAAAGGTGAAAAAGAAAAGAGACAAGGAAAAGCATGACATGATCTTTCAAAATCATGGTCAAATTTCCTGGTCAATTGCATCTGATTTTTTTTAATTGTTTTTTCATAGAATATCTGAAGTTTTTTCATGGTCAAGTTCCTTTTTCTGAACTTCCTTCGCTAGGCTAGTGTGAAAAGGGGAGGAAAGGGTAAAAACCCCAAGCCTTCACTCACCACTCTTCAAAGTAATATCTCAACTGTATTTGTGTAGGAGATTGCTTGTGAGCTTTGAAATCAAGCATACTCTATGATGCTAGCATGGGATCAAGAGCCTCATGAAAGGTAAATCATGCTATTGCTACCTTATTAGTATATTGCCAGCTATGTGCTCTTTATTTTTTGGGTACAATTCTAGGCTTTCTAGCTATAGAAGCTATGAAACTCATGAACAATTTTAATTTGGGTGGTACCAAATTCGTGAGTGGTATTAATAATTTTTCTGGCATTCGAAATGAAAGATAACCAAGAGAGGGGCTGTGAATGTGTGTGAAAAGCATCTAATTAAATGCTTCAACAATCCAAGTCTTATCTCATCTAGCTAGTCAATCAAACCATGATTCGTACCAAAGACCTTTATACCAGTCTAATTGGACAGTCATCTATTTTTCTTTTTGACTTTGTTTCAATCTGAGTTTGAATGTTTAACAATTCAAGTATTGTATTATAACTGTATCATTGAATTTCTGAATTTGTACAATTATTTTAACTGGATTTTAGCTCAATTGTTAACGGCTCATTTATAAGTTTAATTAATTAAAATGTGAGAGTTATTAAAATA